TTTACTTTGCCAATCAAACGCTCGTAAACGGTATGCCTGCACCAGAAATTTGATGATCGGACTTGCTTTTGTAAGGCGTCTTTGCATGTTCTCTATCAGATCTCTGATTTTCTCTTCTGTGATCGAAGTATCCAGATGAAACACTACTTCGTCGCTGACTAAAGCCACACACCTCACATTTACTTCTATTTCATCCAAATATGGCAAGAGAATCGTTCGGTAGATTGTTGCTGTAAAATGCGTCCACAATGCTTCTAACTTGTAATATTCGGGCAATTCGCCTAAGCATCTCATTCGTAATGTTTTGCTTTGTATGAGCATAGGTCTTGGTCCTACAAAGAAGGATAAAAAATCAGACCATGTCGGATAGGTGTGAGCATCAATCACATGCATGTGTTGAAGTGAGGCGAAGTTTGCGGATTTCATATCAACGCTGAGAAACACTTGACCGTCATTCTTTATTGTGTATACCTGATTTTCGATTTTAGTTACGGGTGACCTTAGTGCTGACTCTTGAATAAATTCCTGATATGCGGGAGTTGTCGAAATTAATTCAAATATAAATCGACGTAAACATTGTTCAAATCGTTGAAGAAATGCTAAACCATACCATTCATATAATTGATTGAACTCTTGCCATTCGATTGAATTTTCAGTATTCACTTGTTGTGGACTTAAAAAGCGACTCGTAAAATCGCCAAACAACTTTTCTTTGTCTCTATGACGTTCTTTTCCCTGTTTCACATCTGATGCGTTGATTTTAGACAGTTTCACCGTCGATTTGCGTTTGTCTCGTTTTTTTTCTTTAGCCACTGCAGTTTCTCTGTCCATGTCTTCATACATGATTTGGTATTTGATGGCCAATATAGTCAAGATTACTCGATCGAAAGGAAGAGTGTTCGGTAAATTCAACTCATCATCGGATTGATTTAGCCATGTCTGCACTTGACTTTCCCATTGTTGCCATTTACGATAACATTGATTGTCCATTGTCTGGAAGTATCTATATGTATTTGAGAAAGAAAATACTGGCTATGTTTCGATCATATTTATCTTCAACCTCAAATTTATCTTTTCTCAGAAACTGATGATTTCATATGCGTAAACCAAATGAAAAAAAAACAGTATATTTTTTCAAGCTGAAGAGGAAAACCTTGAAATGAAAGTCAACTAAAAGGTGACTATTCTTCTCAATAAAAGAGAGCATTTCAAGTAATAACATCTGTGCACTGAAATGAATGGACGTTTAGTTAGAGCGCATTATCATTTATTAAACGATGACCTGTGTTCTGTTTTCTAGTTTGATTTTCGTATTCTTAAGCAACCAAGACTTTGGTAGCGAGCTCAAGAGTACATATAGATTGAAAAATTTTGTCGCTATGGCATTCAATGATTGACAGAGCTATCCTATTCTCAATTCTCCTTCGTATCAGCCCTAAACACAATTGTATTATACGTCATCAACTAGAGATATTTGTGCTCCGTTCCTAACAAAGCGAGAATTGCTTTTACAGCATATTTTTATACATTTTCGAAAACAATAAAACGATCATAACCCACGTGTACTGCCTTTTTCAAAAAATCCTCATGAGTTCCGAGTTTTTGAAAATCTAAAGTATGAAAACCTCTGAGTATCCTATTTATGAGAATTCGAAATCATGTAGGTCTTTTCGTTCGTTGAAATCCAGTATACATACTGTCCTGTTTTCATAAACTTCCTAGACGAGAATCTAAGAATATATATATTTATGAAGATCATACTTATCAATCGCCAGTTAAATTTATCAGTTCTATCCAATCCCAAGTCAGTTTGTTGTTCTCTCGATTGATGAGAGAGTTATATAAAACAAAGTGATTTTGTATACTTATTTGTATGTTTTTATGAACTTGCTGAGTCACGTTAACGAAAATTAAGAGAATTGTGACTTTTTATAAAAGCGAAAGCATAATAATTCGGATTTGGATAAGCCAAATCCGCAAGCGATGTGTCAAAATCTTAAATTTAATTTTTTCAAAAATATTTCACACAAAGGAAATTTATTTTGAGATGAAAAGAAACCGACTACGGATGCACATTTGCCCATCCTGATTAACCTTGCTCCAAATTCACTAGTCAAAGTTACATCGAAATCCAGTCAAATCTAATGTATAGATTTCTCAGGATATGGGTTTAGTGCACCACACTAGCTTATACTAGATTTCAAGACCTAAGAAACTGGGAGTGCACATAAAATCTTAGATTCCGAATTTCTGAGAACTGAATCTGAAATCGACATCTTTAGCTATCGCTGTAAAAGTCGACAACAGATTCTTGTATAGTTCTGTACTTTTCGATGGATTTTGATGAAGCAGCACACTTAATAAATATTATATCATGGTTTCGACAGTCATTTAGTTTCACAGAAGGCTAAACCAAATATCAAAGAGCAAAATGCTGCGCAAGAAAATGGTTAGTAGCAGGTACAAATTTCTACTCACCTCTTTCTAATTTATTATGGTATCGGGCAACTCTAGCCACGTTAATATATACAAGTAAAATCTTACTCAATTTTCGATCACTTGACTCATGTTTCTTATGCAACAGTATGACACTAACAACGATTTTACATTTCTTCGAACGTTAACAGACGCGCACTCTTTTTTTTCTTTTCTTCCGACGTATCGAGTATGCGTTAACATGTGCTGTTGTTGACTCTCTTTTTAAACTCTGCAATTCATGAGGTAAAATTGTCAGTTTCATGACGATTCACAATGTTTTATGCAATAATAAGACATTTTCCTAGATATTACAGTGCAATTTATAAATGATCCACCACTTTAACGTCCACATCCCAAATTAAAAAATCAAAAATGAATAAATATGGAAACAATTATGATACTTTAGTCATACAACTTAAAATCAATATTAACAATTAAACATTTTTAAAAGTGATTACATTACACAAATGTTTTAATTTAATCATATAAATCTTTGTTCGACAATCATAATGAAGAAAAGACAGGGGCGCATGAAAAGCCAAATCGACCCACTAGGGCTTTTCTTGGCTAACTTCATTGAATCATACATCAATTGGAAGTACAATTTGAAACCCACATTTCACCACTATTTTCATAGGATTTTGGTCGAAATTTTAAAGTTAAAAGCTATTAACAAAATAATTTATTGTTGATCATAAATCTGATAATCGATTCTGTCAGAGGCAATTCAGTTTTAGCGTAAATATATAAGAAATAATAGTTGTAAAAAGAAGTATTTGATAGCTTTTTGATAGGTGTCCAAGACTATGAAAAATAGAGGGTGTGGGTATGGGTGTATCTAGTCTTCATAGACTCACACCCACACCCACTCACACTCTTATATAGGAGTCGGTGTAAAACGAATATTTCGAGAATGTTAATAGCTAGCGGCCTGGGATTTTCATTATTTGGAGGGAACGGACGTAGGACGTGTTTTTTATACGACACTATACAAGGTGAAATCGTTACCAAACCTATTATTTTTTTGGAAATCTTTCCGAAAAAAATATAATCATACAATATAGCCTTAGTGGAATTTTGATTGTGACATGCATGTTAGACAGAGGGCCTCTGACCTACAATCGCCAATTTTGGAAAAAATAGGACTCCTGATAGAATTAAGTTTTTCTAAAATATAGGATCTTTTTACACATTAATTTCATTGAAATGTTCGGTTCTGATTACTTTCTCTTTTGAGATTAATCCCCGATGTGGTTACCATGAAGTGTTGGATGTTAATAAGTATGCATATTTCATTTCTTTCTGTTAAAATAAAGAGTAAATTCAACTATTATCAACACGTTCAATTATAATACGTTTATTTATTTTATTTGGGAGAACGGCAAAAAACAAAATGCTCAAAATGACAAACTCTGCAGCCACAATATCCGAGTTTTTCTCCAGTCTTTCATGAACAAATCATGAAAGAACAACGAGCGCACAGTCTGATAGTGTAAATATTGGCAAAATCTGTGATTTCTACTTTACTATCAAGATTTTCGAAAGAAAAAAATTTCGTAAATCTATCGGAACTCCACGAGGATTTCAAAAGCGAGAGTCGTCTTGAGATATAAGTAATAAATAAACAAAATAGATCGTAAACTTCAAAAAGATAAACAAAATTAAAAAAAGCAAGAACTATTTTCATAATTATATCTAACTAACAACGTTGAAAAAGTTTGACCTTACAATGAATGTATGTATTGCTCGAAGACTGGATTGAGCACAAAGTTCACAGCTTTCTGAACATTTCTCCATTTTTTCGGTATAAGATAGGTATTATAGGAAAATTGATCGAAATTGAGGACAAAATAGGAGATTTTCTAAAAAGAGAAACAGGTCGAATCGCATTCCAGATAGAGAGACTTCAAATCTATAGTTCAAGATACAATACAAATAGTTATCTTCTCACATCATATCTTGAACTATAGATATGAAGTTTCTCTATCTAAAATGCATGTCAGAATCAAAATTTCTCTGAGGCTACATTGCATTATTATACATTTTTTTCAGAATGATTTCCAAAAATAATTAGCTTGACAATAATTTCACCTTGTATAATATTATATTAACACACGTTATAACTCGACTTCTTTCGATTTGTGAAAAATGTAGGTCGCTAGCTGCTGCCATTCTCGAAATATTTCTCTTACACTACCCCTACTTAATTCTAGCGCTGACAATACTTGCTATCACATATATTTTAATGAACATTCTTTTCTCTTTCTCTTTTTAGACTCCATGCCCTTTTAATACTTTACTTATTCCTCTATATCAAACTCGTACGCATTAACTTACTTGTCGACAATTTTTTATAAAATATCAATCATTTGATATGTCTTATCTCTCCTAATCACTATATACATTTCAATTGAATAGAGGAGTATTCGCTATTTTTCATAATTCAAATGCTTTTCTTTTTGTGTTCTTGTAGTATATGCTTTTATTTGCAACTATCATCTCTTTATAAGACAAAAAAAACGTCAATTCCATTCAAGTAAACCAACTTTACGTGCTGATGTTAATCGATAAATATTGGGAATAGGTACACCGTAATGTTCCTCATCGTCATAGCATGAGAACACTAGAAACAAAATAGACAGATGAATGAAAGAATGTAGGTTGATTTATTTATTTTAACTGACCAAGTTTAGGAAGATGATCGTCGTCCGAAGCGATGGCAAGTTTGATTATGTCCGACCAATTAGGCAAATCACTATTGTTGTTGTCATCTGAATCTGAATTGAAAGACAAATGTAAAAACATAAATAGACAAAAAAAATTTATATCTGTCTTACGTATATTGAATAATGGCATTTGTCCATTTCTCAACGTAATATCGGGCATATCTTCAATAATATAGACGGCCAATATAGTTAATACATGTGCGTAGAGTATTGATCGTAGTAATGTTGGATTGATCTCATCTTTGAGATAGCGAAGAACTTCTCTAAGTGCCCATGAACTAGTCACACCATGAAGAAGGAAAAAATTGTCAGGCTCAGATATTGTACCATCATAGGCAAGTAGGCAAGCTACTGAGAGAGCATGAGATAAATCCATCAACTGATTATCACGAACACGTTCGATAGTTGTTATACGACGAGCATATGTTTGTAGTTTCTCTTGCATCTCTGGATGTGAATGAAGCACACTCATATGACGTGAAAAATAACCGTATAAACTTTTTCCACCACTTTCTTCAGTTACACGCAAAGCTAAATCAACAGCATCCTTTTGTACAAATTTAAGTAGTTGAACAAGTTCATTGCATCCAATATATGGATCTATAGACGATTCATTGTCTTCGATTATCTTTCAAAGAAAAATAATAATAATAATAATAATAATACGTTTGATCTTTCTGCTGATCATTTACTTACTTGATGTTTATTAGCATTCATATGTCCAAGTGTTTTGTATGAAAAGACCATAAGAGCCAGTGCATCAGCAATTGATTGTTTCGATGGAGATCGTAAAGCATAGCCAAGATGAATAATACCATGAGTGGCGATTGCACTCATACCATCGATCAATTGAGGTAAATATTCGACAAGTAAAGCTTTTTTATCTCCATTGAAACGATCATCTAATTCTTTATCGAAAAATTCAGCTAATTCGATAAATCGTATTTGTTTACCCATTAAAGTTTGCCATGTATCATGGGTGATCGGTTCATGAGATGGATCTTTTGTATGAGCCGGTTCCAACTTTTCGCCTAATATATCAGCAATTTCTCGTAGACGATTATCCGATGCTCCAAGTTGATGCTGAGCGACAAGAACATGAAGCATATGACTGATTTTGACGCCTTCATACTTAATATGATATCGATAACGACCTGTTGCTTCGATTACTTCACGCAAAGTTTCATCGTTTGTATTAGCTATCGATGTTGTCGACATTTTGTAATAATTGTTTATTGTAATGTTATCTTACACTCTTATTTATAAGATGTTTTTGTTTTGTACAGAACGAGAGAAAATATGGTGTGATAATGTGCTATCAGTACTTCGTTCGTCATGAGACGATGATGGTGCAATTCTAATTGATTCATGTACGACAAACCTTTGGTCAATTTTTTTGCATTATCATCGTGATTATGGACAAAAGATGGGTTCCGTATGTGCGACGATAAACTAAATCATTTCGAAACATTTAATTGGCATAAAATCTAAAGTAAATGATCGCGTTTTTTCCCCTCTCCGATATAGAAAAAAACAGGACAAAGATTTTTGTTTTTCTCTTGACACGTGTCCACATACAGACACAAGGAAAAGTAAATACAATGAATACGATGAGTAGATAGAAAAGAAAGAATGACATCATCTCATGCAGTAACGTTTGTTATTTACTTAATCCTATTGGCTAACGTCGGTAATACTCGAAGGTATTCTTTTTTTGACGGCATGATAATGCTTTCTTCTTTTACTTTGACTCATATCAACCACCATAAATATAAATGACAGTGAATAAATCTAATACAATAATCATCAAATAAATTTTCTAATTTAATTAACATATTTAATTCTGATAAATATCTTTTAGATATTTCTGATATACATAAAAAGAATAAATGACGTAATCTATTATTTATATTTTTGTAAATAAAAATCGTATAATTCCTGCAATTTCTTTTTTAATCACTCCAGTTTTAAGATATTCTAATTGAGGAAATAAATCAACAAACAATTGCATTTGTTCGAATTCACACCAAAGAAGTTCTAAATATTTAATTTTATTTGTATTTGATACATATATACATAGAAAAGTTTCATTTTGTTTGATTAATTCCAACGGGGGTGTGGGTAGATGTGTGAGAAGAGGATCTACTAACACGCGCATACCCTCTATATTCTACTGCACTGCATCTTAGTGTCGTTTGCCTCACAATGTGAAGATATTTATTATAGTCCATCTAGCCTGGTTTTTTGACCTTGTGTTTTTTTAACAACAATATATTATATATGTGTGAAACAATAGTTCACCAAACACAACCTGTTTTCACTATTGTTATATCAAATGTTATTCTTTTGATACCTGTTTTATGACTAAAGTATCACATTCAACAACAGATGAACTGGTTACAGTATCGAAAGATGATAGTGCAAGTCTTATCAATCTCATGTGTTTATCTGAGTTTACTGTTTCCTAACACCATCATAGCACTGGTTCAGCTTGATGGCGTACCATCGTATTTTGGAGCGTAGTATACATGGATTTCTAGGTTCTTCAGTTATGGTGTTGTACTTCTCTTCCTGATAGTCTTTATTGAATCATTAAAAGTAATATGTTTATCAAGTTGAATTCTTTATTTTCAAAAGTCAAGGAAAAACTCGATTAGCTTCTTTTATTTATTATATATGAATCTTAAATTCTGTTCTTGAACAACGGACCAAAAAAGTATCTACTAATTTTATTACAAACGAGAACGATTAGGATATTGTGTGTAAACTAGTAACATATCGAGAAAAACACACAACTCATCGCAAGACAATATCATTGTATCACTAAAAACCATTGTTAATGTTTCAACCTCTCTTTGCAATAGAAGAGTCTGGATTCCTTTTTATACGGAAATGAACCAAGTTGTAAAAGGGACTTCTAGTGTGAGCAATCTATCAAATGTTGAAAATCAGACATATTTTTCTATGTAGATATCCTATTTAAAGTTCAATTCTTTCGGGGATTGAATCAAATAATGAAGAGAGCTGGGTGTGGGTGTGAATGGGTGGATGTGGCTTGTAGAGTGTGGATGTATGGATGAGTGTGGGGTATGGATCTGAAGTGTGGGTGGGTGGGTGTGGATATCTTCTTCACCAATACTGACAGCCACAACCATACCCACACTGAAACCTAACCACACTCACTGGTAGAATTAATTCGGGAATCAGAAGAATTCAGATTTGATCGAATTCCGGAATTCCCGAAATCGATGAAATTGACACCTGAGACGGATCTGAGTCCCGAAATGTGCAACATTGTGGAATAGGATGACTGCTCACTATGTCATGTTTTCGATTGAATTAATTTTAACTCGTAAATTGATTCATGAAGAGCAGACAAATATTCTTAGAAAAATCTAGAACGTGAATGTTATACTTATTCGATTATCTTTAAAATATGACATTTATATATGAAAATTCTCTTCGTCGACGAGACTATTTTTGAAAAGTATTTGAAAAAATTATTGTATAATTAGCATTCAGCAGATAAGGTGACTAGTAGTAGCTTTCGACGTTATAATTTCGATGAAACTTCGAACTGTGGCAACTGTTTGTTTTATTACTGCTTCGAGATGTTTGAAACCTAGGTAAACCATGTGCTACTGTTCAAATAAAATAAATCAAACATTGCTGATATTTTACAAAAGATTAATTTGCTGATTGTTTTTATCAAATAAAAAACTTTCAACTTCTTCCAATGCTCCTTTCAAATAAAGTTATAAAACGATGTTTTTTTTTTCATTTTTCTTAGAGAATTCATAGCACTAAATAACGTTTACCTGACATTAATATAGTTTCATAAAATAAACAGTCTCACTGTCTGCATCTCATTGCAAATATAGTGAATATTTACTCAATAGACGACGAAGGTAAAACATAAAAACAAAAACAGAGAAAATGAGACGATAGCAACCAGTGAGATAAAAACAAGCAGACATGTAATCAAAGCGACGTTTCGTCAAATATTTTCTGTCAACCGAAAGAAAAAAAATTACATTTATGACTCACTCCGAAAGAAATTTCTCTTTTCTGTCGATAACAAAAACTAAAATAGCAAAAAAGGTAATATGTCTTCAATTAACGAAAAAGCTGTACGAGTGACACTAGGAAGTACTTTTGATCTGCTGACAACCGAAAAATCGACTTCCTCGTCTAATAAAATAGCATATTCAACACAAAATAATAATCAAGGAGAATTAATCGATAATATGACTTCCTTAAAACATGGGCAATTATGTGCATCTGATAATTTTATTCTCATATGGTTAGATTCTCGCATAAATGAATATGACAATCAATATAATAATTTAATTATTCAATTTCGACATATGATTAAGTCCGCCGAACTGTTTACTAATGTTGATCAATGTATCGAATTTATGAGAAATATTAAAGATGATCGAATATTGTTTATTTTATCACAGAATATCGATATGACTGTCGTATCTCTTATTAATGATTTGTCACAAGTCGATTCAATATACATTTTTTGGAATGAAGAAATCAAATTTGAACAAAGTTTATTAGAATACAAAAAAGTACGAGGCGTATTTTCTGACATCATGATGATATTTAATCAACTTCAACGAAAGTTTCAACAATATGAACAAGATCTTATATCAATGAATATATTCTCGTCTGATTCTACTCTTGATTTAGATGAACTTGATCAATCATTTATATATTCATTACTATTAAAAGAGATTCTTCTTGAAATGAATTACAATGAAAAAGCAACAACGCACTTTTTCAAATTGTACCACGATCAGTATCTAAGCGACGAAGTTGATTTAAGTAGAAACGATGAAATAGAAAAATTTTATAATCAATATTCATCTATTGGATTGTATAATAAGATGCCGTCGATTTATTCTCTACTCAACAGAATATTAAGAACACAAGATGTAACTAGTACCATTAAAATGGGATCTTATTTGAAAGATCTTCATCAACACATCAAACAAGTTTACTCGACAGTAAATAAAGCCGAAAAATTAGTTGTCTATCGAGGACAAAAGCTTTCAAATGATAACTTTGAAAAAATGAAAAAAACTATAGGAAGTCTTTTGTTATTCAACAATTTTTTGTCCACAACTGTTAATCGAGAAGTGGCATTAGAATTTATCAATGATGCTCGTAACGATCCACATGTGGTAGGAATTCTGTTTGAGATGGAAATCGAACCATCACTGTCGAAAATTCCATTTGCACCATTAAAAATGGTCAATGATTGTTCGACCTGTGACGATGAAATTCTCTTTTCAATACATAGCTTCTTTCATATAAGCGAAATTACAGAAATTGACAATGGTTTATGGAATGTGAAGATGATTATGACGAATGATATCAATCCTCAACTCGAACGTCTTATAACTTGTCTGCGTGAAGCAATACAAGATTCTAATGAGTTGAATCGTCTACGAAACTTATTAGTTAAGATGGAACACTTCGATCAAATCGAAGAGATTTACGACACACTATTCCAAATATTATCCAGCGACTATTTAAAGGAATTTGAATATATTTCCAATCAAATCGGAAATATTCTTATTGAAAAAGGGCAACTAGAAAAAGCATTATCATTTTTAAAAAAAACGCTCGAAGTTAGATGCAAATTTTTATCATCAAACCATCCAGATTTAGTTACCACTTACACTAATATTGGCTTAATGTATAACAAAATGGAAAACTATTTACAAGCACTCTTATTTTATGAAAAGGCACTCGAAATACAACAAACAATTCTTCCACCTAATTATTCAGACTTGATTATTACATACAACAACATTGCCTTGATATGTAATAGTATGGGAGATTATTCAAAAGAGCTTTCTTGTTACGAAAACATACTTCAAATTCAGCTAAAATCTCTATCAACAAGCGATCCAACATTGATTAATACGTATAATAATTTAGCTCGAGTGTATAGTTCAACGAAAGATTATTTACATGCTATTGCATTTTATAAAAAAACTCTTAAAATTCAGCAAGCAATTCTTCCAGTCAATGATCCATTAATAGCGATCACATACAATAATATCGGACGAGCACATGCTGATAGAGAATACTACTCATATGCACGTGATAGTTACCAAGAAGCACTTAAAATTCAAGAAAATATTCTAGATCCAAATGATCCTTTATTGGCTGAGACATATAATAATGTCGGAGAAATGTATCGATTAACAGGAAATTGCTTAGATGCATTGCAATACTTTGAAAAAGCGCTACAAATTCAGGAAAAAATACTTGACTCAAATCATCCATCATTAGTTACGACGAAAAATAATATAGATCAAGTACGTAACTCTATGAAGGACATTGGAAAATTACTGTCATACTGTGAGACAATCTTTAAACTAAAATCAAAGTCATTTCTGTCAAATGATACATCTTTCCATATGAGAGATGACAATATGCCAACAACATCGGAAGGATTTCATCAATACGAAGAGACTACTCTAGAATCATCACAAACCCTTAATACTATTACTCATAATATTGAATCTAATCATTCGCAAGCAGGCGAATATCAAGAATATGCCAATCAACGCACGACGATAGTCAGTAGTGGAAACTTACATGAGAAAAAAGTCGACAAGCAGTAAGTCTATATATAATATTTTATATCGAATAATCAACTTTCTCTATAGATGGATCTACCCTGTTCTTCTTGTTCTTTCCTCGCCAGAAACAGCTCGATTATATTCCATTTTGAAGAACATAACCGATAGTTGTCTCATACCTCCAATTCAGACCGATGAATGTAATGATAAATTAAAGTCATATCAACAGATAAAGGAACTTGTACTCGAATTTCCATCTAATATTTCTGTCACTGATCGAGATCGAATACTCAGCGAAATCTCATCTTTTGATAATATTCAATCAATCTACTTATTAGGAAAACCACCTGAAACAAAGAAGCAACGAAATGAATTTTTTAATCAATTTGACAAAGTTTGCATATTCTGTGAGGATGAAGAGCAAATTGCTGTTCAATGGATATTGGATACTGCCAGTCGTTGTCGCATGTTTGGCAATCAATGCATTAAGACAGGCGACAAAGCTGTTGCTAGTGAACATTTTCAACGAGGTATAGAACTCTACGAACGTCTTAAAGAGTTCATGAAACCAAAATAACGTCAAGTATCATAAACATTCTTCTGCTTCACAGTGACTATAAGACAGTATAACACAAACTTTTTTTTAAATTTCCAACAAAAAATTATTTATCATCAATATCTTTTTTTTAATCATGCTTATTCTAGAGTTTTAGATTTGATGTCATTAGCCAATACAGGAGTGTTGATATTTTTTGACCCTGACGATAAATATGGCTGGTGTGATGATCAATTTGATAAAAGAATATTTATTCGTTGCATTGATTCTCATCATTGTCGTAAGCATATATGTACTTATGTCAACAATCAAGACTTGGATGTTCATTTCTTTTTTCCCGATACTCGATTAGCACTTATTATGAATTGGCAACCAGAACATAGCGACACTCATAAATATATTTATTGTCATGATCAAACCTCAATCGATCAAATTAAACAAACATATGGAAGGCGCGTTGCTCACAATATATTCCTTGCTGACGAACTAGAATTTCATATTGCTCATGTTCAAGTTGCGTTGTTGCATTCATTAGCAAAGCAAATACCTGAGGAATCACCTCAACGCGATGAAATAGCATCAAAAGCTATAGAACAATTAGACTATCTTATTCACAAGTTAAAACAATTGAAGACTGATCAATTAAGCGAAGAATCTACCGACCTCCATTGATACACAATTTTCTTTTTCTTCGAATGACTAACTATTGTCGAACTATATTGTATTTTGTTTTTTTTTTGCATATGAGTATTAAATCTAGGAAACTTAGTCAACTGGAAAAAAAAACTAAACTCATTAAACTGCTGGGACAATTATGTACATATTATCGTTTCCCTCGAAAAACAAAATACATTACTGGAAAGTTTTTGAATACTTTCTATCAGAAGTAAAGTAATGAGATATCATTTCTACAATTCGGAAGATTTACTTACCAGGAAATTCTTAGATGCAAATATAGGCCTTCATTATACACATCCTATTATTAAGATACTTCCAAAGTCTTTACTACTATGTTATTGTCTTGAACAATAATGCCGTATTAGATGATTAAAAGAGGTAAAACATAGCAGTAGTTGAATTACTTTCCTTGAAAAACAAAACAAGTAGCTGAAGATAAATTAACAAACGGCGTTCGAGGTTGATATAAATAAAGTATTTTGAACCAACTCTTATGATCTAGATATATTTTCACCATCAAGAAGATAAGCCGATATCTTATATATGTATATGACACTTCTCCTTTGCTTTTCTTACCTTGTGTTATCTCAATGATTCAAAATATGACTAAGATTCAGGATGAGCAAAAAATCAAGAAACCAAAAGAAATCAAAAGACAAATCTAAAAGCCAGGATTCTCCTGATTAAATCAGCAATTCAACAGTCGTAGTTTATTCTCACCATCCTCGGACTAAAACAATTTTTCGTCAACAATTTATAAGGTTATTATTCTTTGAACTTCTACATATTTTGTCAATAATTTTGCGTTTGAAATAGTATTTGTATTAATATGTAAAAGAAAGCAGTGCATAGGTGAAGTTGGGTGAGATCATCAGCAAAATAGATAAAAGGGGGTATGGGTACGGATACGGTTGGAGAACGACAAGATTAATATTCACACGCAGATCAACTTATTCTCTGAAACATATTGTAGGAATGTATATCTATTTTTTTTTTAGATTTATTTCAATTGACACAAATAAATCATTTCATAAGATCCTTAGGAGAGATAGAAATACATGTCATGAGACTTTGTAACACAATCACATCCAATCCGTCTATCATTGATAATTAATATCAAAATTTTTTTCTCTATATACTGATAGACAAAAGAAATCTTTTTGTTCTTTGGATAAATGATGATATTGATTAGTGAATTGTATTCTCCATTCTAAATATGAACGATATCCATACAATATATGCTCTATTAGTTGTGCTGGAGGACGATAATTAGGGTTTGGATTTAAGCAATAACGAATTAAATTTGGAAATATAGGACTTATTTGTGTTAATATTACTGTTTTTGCGTTTGAATCATAATAATGATTTGTGCCTGTAAATAAATGATTTAATGTTAAACCAAATGTAAATACATCTAATGTTTGATTATATGTATTACAATAAAATTCAGGTGGCATATAAGATATGCAGCCCATTGGTGAATTGTTAAAGCAAAGTTGAGGATAATATGATTGTGATATACCCATATCACCTATTTTAGCTCTATAATTATTGTCAATCAAAATATTGTCTGGACGTATGTCACGATGAATCATACCATGCCGATGAATGCGATGCATACCTGATGCTATATCACAAGCAATTGAAATTTTTCTTCTATTTGTTAAACGATTATATTCTTGTTGTAAAAGTTTTGTTAAACTTCCTTTTGGCATATATTCCATAATAATTAAAAGACGCAAGCGATTTGGTGATAGGTTTTCATAAGACCAACCATACATAGATAAAATAAATGGGCCACGGCATATTGCATAACCTGCTACTTCTGCAAGAAACGTCTGTACTGTTGAGTTAGCAGTTGAATTCACATTTGAGTTTATATCAATACATTTACATGCAACAGTAGAGTTTCTTGATAACCATAATGCTTTGTAAACCACACCTAGAGATGATTTTCTTTTGTTAGATGTCAAATAAATTTTTGATCTTTTTTGGTTGCATACTTACCAAAAGCACCACTACCTAATTGGTTTTGAAGATAAAAGTCATTTCGAGCAATTTGGTCTAATGCCATACTTAGGTCTGCGAAAAAACTATATTATGATTTTCTATTTTTACTTGCTTAACGTTTGTGTTAGGATATATGGATGATTTTATATTTCTTTTGTTACTATATATCCTTACCCGTCTGACCTATTCTTCTTCAATGACGTCTTTTGTTGTAACTCTACTTGTTGTTCATTTTCAATCAGACGAAGAAACTCTCAACTTCTTCCCTGACTAGTCCAATTTTCTCTTCCTATATATACTTCGTGTTTTTTTTCAATAAAGGGAAATATTATTCACTCATCCAAAGCGTCATATACTTAACTATATATACTCTTCTCACGAGAGGGGAAGAGAGGCAAGCGGACATTCTAACTGTTTGTACTATATGTTTCGATATGCTCGAGCAAAACGGAATGGATTAATTGGTTGCTAGTATTTTATGTTTCCGGTAGCATAGAATTTATTAATTTGAATCGAGTATTGAACTATTCAATTATCACTGGTATCAATTCTGATTATTTTCCTTGAAGAAGTTTCGAATGATCATGATTCTGAAGGATTCTATTAAGATTTATTTGTAATGTATTTCCAGTCCTATTAGTTTCTGTTTCCAAGATATCTCAAGGTGAAGCATGGTGCTTTGCTGTATTCATTCAAGTTTCTACTCAGATTTTCTTCTTAACAGAGTAATAAATATTATATTATCATTCACTCTTGATGCCGGTCGGAAATATGATCGCCATAATAGGAACAACTTTTTATGATGAATTGATCAAGCATAGCGAAATATTTATTCGGAAATTTCATATCAAGACTTAATCAGAAATTCCAGTTGTGCTGAATAAGGATCTTATCAGGAATAAAAATGAAGATTAATGATAATCCTAAATTGATGAATTTTATTAAAATCCAATAAGAACCCTGCTTGAGCTCCTTTTTTTTCTGTCTTGAGAATCCGTCTATGGCTCTGTTAGAAACAATCCTAGATTATGAGTGTCGAGTATTGTCAAAGCATACTCAAACTTGAGCTTCATGATATCATCAGATTTTATAGCTGATCTTGACAAGAATCGATGAAAGAATTCGATCAAGTTTTAGCAGGTTCTGGTTTATAAGTATGTATCAATCTCAGTTAACTATATACCAGTCCAATTGGATCACAGATGATATCGATCTAGATTTGTGACGGTCAGTAACCGCATCTATTCTATCTCTACATGATTATTTGATGTAGTTAACTTTTAAAAAACCAAATCTCATGACACATCCTAAATGCAATACTATGAAGATGAATAACCGTTGTGGATAAGTTTATATAAGAAAAGTAACAAAGTAAGTAAGATGAGCTGCTTCGACTAATCATCTTACCAATCAGTAACCAGTAAAGATTCCATATCTGACTGAGGCTGAGACCGAGCGAGACTTCCGGTGTCGTCTCGATATATTTCTGATCCATAAAGAATTCCCGGCGAATTTGTGAAGTATCTAATGAGCGACACTAAGAATTATTTCTAAGAGTTTAACTTTTTAACTTGATTCCTCAACGTATTTGTGTTTCTCTATTCGTTTCTGAGAAACTTATATAATTCTCTAACTAATTCGACAGAACAATCTATGAGCATGTTGATCATAATAACTGAAATCAGCGTAATGAACGCAATGATCTCATGACAATGTTATCCTTCAGAATGGTGTGAGTCATATGTCGTTTCGCACATGCTCTTACTAAGATAATGTGACTCAGTGTATTTTTTCTCCCCATCATCCCCGTTTATTCCTCATATACGGCTATCCTATACAAAACAATGAATAGAATTGGTTTTGATGGTCATAACTCGAACTATTCGATTCGAAATTTGCAAGCGCTTATCTTTTTACACTTGAAAAACATACTTACAATTATAATATTTGCTTTAGTTGTTATCAGTAAAAATGATTCTAACAAAGGAAGCTGCAGACGTTTATAATCGAAAAAAATAAAATGATCCTGTTGGTTGGATATCGCTTGATTATGCAATGCATAAACATGTTGGAAAAAAAAACATTAATTTCATTCTTCTGACAATATCAAATGCGTCATGCTTTAAGCTGTTATCATTTCTGTATGTAAAAAAAAGTAACTAAGAGACAGAACGGCACATCAAACATATTGAATGTAGACGTGAGAACAGGACTTTCATTCACTTACACACAAAATGAGCTAAAAGTTTGATTTGGTGGCTTTATATGATGGCTTTTCGGATGTATATAGAAAATCAAAAGTTTAATAAATTTGGGCCAGTCTCGGTTTCCTAGTCTTTTTCTGAGTGTTCTCTTAAATATTTGATAAAAGATTTGAGCATCGTATAATTTTCTATTGAAGATGTTCGTACTAACGATGTTGACAAGAGGGTGTGTGAAGAAAATTTTCACACCCCACAACACACTCATACTCATCTACCAACAAGACAACGCCACGTCACATACACATCAAAAGAATTGTTGACATGATGTGAAAAATATTTCATGCATTTTATAGGTGATCAAAGACGGCCATCAAACAGTGCCGAACTCAATGTTCTGGATCATCACGTATGGAAAGCCATCGACAATAATATGCAATGGAATAAAGTTAAAAACTATGAGTGATTAATTGGTGAAATAAGAAAAAGAAATCATCATTCTAGCTAGATGTGTCATTCCATTAACTATATTTTGTTTTCTTTCCTTCTTTTCATGACTTATGTTCACTGAAGTGAAACCTTCTTTTTTTCTTTTATCTTTCTTGAATTAACGCGAATGTCAACAGTTCTTGTTCTTGTTCTTCTTTTCTCTTTTCATTCCTCTTGTCCATCTTTCTTTCCTTGCTAATAACGGTCGATCGTTGAGATCCCATCTATTCGATCGATTTCTGATACTTGCAAGTGCGATAATTAGAATTTTGTGGATGTTTCTCTTTCCTATGCAGACCAAGAAAGATCAAAGAGTGATTTATCAGTCTATGTGACACTCTTTACTAGATTTATAGGTTAGTTCTCGCCTCACAGATCGAGAATACATGTCATAGTTCTTGCTTCTCTTCTGTTTTTGTCACCGCCGCGCATTCTCGCCCGTACTGTGTATGAGGAGAATAATAGATGGAATAAATAGAGAATGAATAGTAACAATATATATTCCAACATAGTGTAATAAACAGGTAAATAGTCTAAATTCATCCAATTTCCTGTGCCTTAATTAGTGAGATATTACATTTTTAACTGATTTTCTGAGCAGATTTTGAGATTTACCACAAATCCTCAGACTCAAACTTTTAACCATAAGTTACTACTGTATATTTACGCCCGGAAAAAAATAGTTATAGTCCGTATTTCAAATATAGTGTCACTATAAAGACATATTGTTTTAAAACTAATTACATATTCTGAAAACTCGTGGAGTTTTCTATTATCCTATATAATTAGGTTTTAGTTTAGACCAATTCATTACCAAAACAAATTGAATATAATGAAGGCAGTCTCATGTCAAGATTACCACAGACTTGATTTTATGACTATCATCAAAATAAGTTTTTTAAATTTTTCATCACTATAGAATTATCTTTTTAAAAAAGCAATTATATATTCTGATAGCTCTTGAAATTCTCTATCTTCCTATATATTTGTCTAGTGTCTTGCATTTATGTATTGCTAAAATAATTTGAGTACAATTAAGATCACCTCGATTGACAAGTATGAAAATTGACTAGTTTTTATACTTTTTCGAATTATAGGTACAACGTTATCTTGCATGTATATGCTGAAGAATAGTTTGAGTATTATGCAGGCATGCTCCTCGACAAACTTGAAAAAACCTGAATTTTTTTAGCTATTTCTTTCGTCTATTATTTCACAAGTTCAGAATGATCGAGAAAGTAAGTCATTTTCAGAAGATATAATTATTTCTAAGTGATAATAAAGTGGAAATAAATAGGATAGTCATAGGAGAAAATTGAGGTTTTTTAGGTTCGTCAAGAAGGATGTTTAAATATTAATCGAATTATTTTTCAACATATAAATATAAAATAAAACAAAAGTATACAGAATGATAGAGAATTTGAAGTTCTATTAAAATGCATTATTACTTTTGTAAAAACCTATTTCCTTTGTGCTTATAATTCGAAAAGTACAAAAACTAGTCAATTTTCGTACTTGTCAATCGAGGTTATCTTCATTGTACTCAAATTATTTTGGCAATACATAAATGCAAGACACTTGACAAGTATATAGGAAGATAGAGAATTTCAAGAGCTATCAGAATATATAATTGCTTTTTTAAAAAGATAATTCTATAGTGATGAAAAATTTAAAAAACTTATTTTAATGATAGTCATAAAATCAAGTCTGTGGTAATCTCGACATGAGGGTGTCTTCATTACATTCAATTTATTTTAGTAATGAATTGGTCTAAACTAAAACCTAATTATATAGGGTAATAGAAAACTCCACGAGTTTTCATAATATGTAATTAATTTTAAAACAATATGTCTTTATAGTGACACTATGTTTGAAATACGGACTATAACTGGTTTTTTTTCCAGGCGTATATATTCATGGAATAAATGAGTTGTGTGATTTGAGGATTTATTCAAAAAGCATTTACACAGTTTTATAGAGAAAAAAAATAAATATAAACCACTAAATAGTAATCAATTGTCTATTTGTTACGTCGAGGGAAAGTTATACATATGTTGACAGTAGTTATCGAAGGTTGATAAACAGTAGATTGATAAGTAATAATGAAAATCATATGATTTCTGTTCTATTTTCCTTATCATTCTAATTGGATGATTTTATCTGTATTTTTATTTTTGTGCCTTTTAATATTATATCGATCATTTAGTCTCTTGTTTTCATCCAAACATAGATTTTCTGTTAGTATGCTGATCAGACTACATCGTTTATACTAAATTTCTTACTCATAAATCTCATTCAAAGTGAGATATTCAGGCTTTTTCGTTGTTGTCGTTCTTTTACAATTCATTCAATCAAAAGATCTCGATACAAACTCCTTTTTATCAAAAACTACGAACGACGACGTATCAACATCCACATCAGCTACCACCATTCTATGATTCTAGATCAGTTGATCCTTTTCCTAATATAAGCAGTCGAATCTAGTCTGCCATATGTGGAACCAAAGGTAACGTTTCTAACTAAATCCTAACACATATTGAAACTCGCTTTTGATTGCTGTATTTTTTATATAGTCTACTCAGTTCTGTGACTTTTTTAGTAGAGAATGTCTTTTTGCTTTTATTTTAAACGAGTATGGATAAGTCTGTATAATACCCAGAAAAATATACAAAAGTTTTGATAAAAATAACGAGAGAAACTTTTTCTGATGCTATCTTGAATGATGAAAAGTACATGCCTCCATCTTAATTAGTAGAAAAAAAATCGATTTTCATCATTAACTATACTTGAAGATTTGAAATAAATATCGCAAAATTTGTTAATCAAACCAGTCAAAAGTGATATGAAGAATACATTTTTGAAATATCTTTCCAAGTAAATTTCTAGAGTGATCAGTGTTGAAGTAATAAAGTGACATTCTCTCAGGTAATCAATACTTTCTTCTTACTACATTTTTCTTAAATGGAAGTTGTAAGAATGAAAAAGAAGAATTGACACACGAACTTTCTTCATATTTTATTCTAGAGATAAACTGTGTGGATTTTATAGAATAGTGCTACCCTTATAATCTGAAAACTTGATCATTCTTTCATATATTTTCATTTTTAATCGACATCGCTTCGTTCTTTTTAGATAACAAAAAATGTGGGTCATATGAAAACTCATGTTGCACATCACAATCTTTTATTAAAATGTCAAAAGACGAATTTAAACGGATAGTTTATCTCGGTTGATTAGGATATACCGGTGCTCTATGTTACTCAGTGATAATTAAACTTTGTTTCAGTAACTCCGATAAAGCCGAAGTTGACAATCGTTCTATTGTAGAACCATTTCAGACATCAACTCAATCTGTTCCCGTACCAACATATTATTTATTGCTGACAACGCACAATATGAATAATCGCAATTTACGAATAACTCTCGAAATACAAAGTTTGGTTAGAGATATACCTCTAAGGAATTTCACGGCTTTAATAGAACAACAGGCACAACAAGGCGTTAATCTTAATACCAGAAGAGAAACAGCAGCTTCACTTGAATAACAAATTCCAATACTACCACCAGCATACGATGATTTTATAGATCGAAACTCAATAACAAACACAACATCAACCTATGACGAATTGATCCCAAGAAACTGATCTTTATTTTAAAAACAATTCTCCTTTGACTATAAACTTTGTTTACACTGAAGAAAGACAATATATTTCTAGAAAACGTCAGATCAGTTGATGTCATACTACTGCTTTATAGTGTTCAAACTATAATCCATATATCATGAGATTTTTTGTTAATCAAATCAAAATTATTAAAAAAAACATATGAAAATTACGCAAATCATGAAAAAAAGCCAAGAATTCTTGGCTATTAACTTTTGATAAAATCGATGATATTGATTAGGAAAATTAAGCTAAATAACTAATAATAAATATTTTAATGTTTTTGGAGTTTTCATTATTCGAATAATTGTGCAACTTGAACAAACGTTTTACGATCTTCATCGATTGTTTCATGGATACTTGTCATATTCTTTTGTTCGACTGATTTTATTGGAACATTCAGATTGATTCGAAGCTTTTTACTAAACACTAATCAAAGTAATGACAGTACTTGTAAAGAATATAGACATACTTTCGAAAATTTGCTGCAATTCGAAGGATAGAATTCACATTGATATTATCAGGTTCTTCATGATAGATTCAAATTTTAAAAGATTCTTAAAACATTGAAACAACAATTCAATCTATAACTATGTTTTATTCTGAATCTATTCAATAGTCAATTCATCTGATTCATTAAATAAGAGAAGAATATAAGCCGTTTGATACGTTGATACCTAAAACTCACAGATTAATATAAATTGCTGAACAGATACTTGTACTTGTAATATATATTTTGATTTAATAAAACATATTTCCAATTCACCTGTCGAATATTGACAAATTTATTTTTAACTTTCAACCATAATGATGACAAATATAGAAGTTGATAATGATCATGAATTAGACGAAAGTATCATTCCAGAAAAATGAGCTAACTAATTGAAGTGGTTTATATAAAATCGCTGTTTCATGATGATTCAACGTAGGAAGAGTACTTTACAGCTATTACACTGGCAAAAAATTGAGAATTTGAAAAGGAATTAATGTACCTGTTCAAATACCAAAGTTCATCTTTGCATATAAGATTTAATTTTTTTCTATGTTTGCTCTCGATTGTTCTTCGGTTATATTTGTATTGTGTTCTATAGTATACTATTAATTAGTGGGTGTCCTTATCCACCTTCTCTTTTCAATATAAAACATGGTGTAAGAGAAAAAAGAACCACTCTTTAACAGATGTTTTCATTTCCATCATCGTCATGTACATTAATGCAAAATCACACACACATATAAGGAATACAGAATGCAAAAAAAAATGAAAATGACGTGGGCAACATATCTTTTGTTTTTATTGGTGATATTCAAGTGAGTAATAACTTTCCATTATTAACTTAAAGTAGGATGAACTATTGCTCATTTTTAGTGTCTCAGGTAAATTCCATTCTTTTCATATGTGAATCTATTTTTTATTGATTAAGTAATTCGAGTCGAAACTCAGACATGTCAAAACGCTTCTCTTTATGACCAATGTTCATCCAATGTTGCATGTGGTTGTCTTCAGTCGGCTCATACGCCTAATGATGGCATTTGTTCTTATCTGTATGTCTCATGCTCTGAATTGAGTGCATGTGCAGTCGATAATCGAACATGTTGGGAACCTGAACATGAATGTGTAACACATCCACATTGTCATACTGGTCCATTGTGTTATCCATTGAACATGGCCACACAAACTGTATGTCCACCTATATTGACGACAACAAGTAAGCGATATGAATTTGTCAAATATATTATGCCCATATCTCATATCGCTTAGGTAATCCTTCATTACCTCAAGACGGAATATGCGCCGAAGCAAAATGGAATCGAAATGGTGTTATTATAGCTGGGGGAAACTATGGGTCTGATCTGAATCAACTCATGGCTCCTCATGGTATGTTTGTTGATGATAATGATACGATCTATATTGCAGATGGTGCAAATCAGAGAATAGTTAAATGGGTGCCAGGGGCTAATAGTAGCCAAGTAGTAGCCGGTGGCAATGGAAAAGGTAACAATAGTGACCAGTTTGAATTTGTAACAAAAGTTGTTGTTGACAAAAATGGAACCATGTTTATATGTGATACTTATAATCAACGAGTACAACGATGGTTTAAGGATGCTAATCATGGAGAAACAATTGTTGATGATATTTTATGTTATGGATTAGCAATGGACAACGAAGGATCTTTGTATATCTCCGATCAGATTGAGAATAGCGTAGTAAAATTGCCCGGTAGACAAATAGTTGCCGGTGGAAATGGAAAAGGATTTGATATAAATCAATTAAATGATCCCAAGCATATATTTGTCGATCGGGATAAGTCAGTATATGTGGCTGATAATTTTAATTATCGAGTGGTGAAATGGCCTGCTGGTGCTGAAGAAGGCATTATTGTGGCTGGTGGTAACGAACAAGGAGATGATAAGAATCAATTGAGTTCACCACAGTCGGTGGTCGTGGACGATTCGGGCACTGTCTATGTTCTTGATTATGGTAATGATCGAGTAACGCGTTGGTTTAAAGGTTCTACATCAGGCAATATTATCCTCGGTCGATCAGGATGGGGTGATGACACATCTTATGTATATCGTGCAAATGATTTGGTATTCGATCGTCATGGAAACTTGTATGTTGTCGATAATTCGAATGTTCGCATTCTTAAATTTACTATCGACAAAAGCGCTTGTCTAACAGGTAAATTTCAAAGCTTATTATTGATTAACTAATTCTTTTCTTACTTTTTCTAGAATGACGAACTAAAATGCACCTTAGTTGCATTTGTCATTTTCTATTTACGACTATTGAGATCTGTTTTAAATAAATAAACTTATCTAATCG